TCTCTCTCTCGGGCGGACAGATGTCCGCGGTGGGCGGCGAAGACGAATCATGCCCCGCGCCAAGACAGCACTGGCACTCTCACACGCACTCACACGCACGCACGCACGCAACGCAACGCAACGCAACGCAACGCAACGCACGCACGCACGCAACGCACGCAGGCACGCACGCACCCAACGCACGCACGCAACACACGCACGCAGAGCACGCAGAGCACGCAGCGCACGCAAACTGCGCGGCGCGGCGCACCCCTTGGCGCGGGCAGCATGTCCCCCGCTCTCGCGAACGAGCCGCTGCCTCGGCGATCTGGTGCCCGAGGCGCGCCGCGCGCCGACGCGGGAACGCAACTTCCAGGCACCAGCTGAATGGAGCTCAAGCCTAGGTCGGGCATGCCCCCCTACAGGCGGATTTTGGACGATTGGAAAATCAAAAGCATTCAAACCAGGATCAAACATAGCAAAACAAAAAAATCGCCCCCATAGTATTTTTTACTGCTTTTGAATGGCCCTCCCGTAGAGGGACACGCCCGACTTCAGCTCAAGCGAAGGCGACGTGTCGCCCACTCGCGCGCGCCCCCGCCCCCGGCGACCTGGCGAACGACAGGTGTGTGCCGCGCCGAGGCGGGAGCGCAGCTCCCAGGCAGGAGCTGCGCGGCACGGGGGCGGCGTGTGTGCCATGGCAGCCCGCTCGCTCGCGCGTCGCCGAGCCTGCGAGCGAACATGTGCGCTGCGCCCGAAGCAGGAGATCCGGCCCCGGGGAAAGCGAGCGAGGCCCAGGGGCGAGAACACGAGATGCCGCTCCTTCGCGCGGCAGGTGCGCGCCCCGTCCCCCCTTCCTGCCGTGCACGTCTGCAGGGGCGGCGATACAGCGTCCATGCTGGAAGGGACACGCCTCTGCGCTGTACTGTGTAAGGGTATATGTAATGCGTAGGATGGACCCCCCCCCCAGATTGGGCGCGCGCGCACGCGCGTTGCGCCGCGTCCCGCTCCTGCTACGCATTGTACACTGGCGACGATAAAACGTCCATGATGAACGGAATCACGCATTCTTCGTTGTTTTGTTGATTGGCATGATGAACCCCGGGTGTGGGGGTGTGGGGCTTTCGGCCAACCAGGTGACAGAGTGGGAATACATCGCCCCAAACAGTGCTTGCACCCAGGGGTGAGTAGTTGGACTTCTTCTGTGAAGCGGTGCGCGTTCCCAGGTTCTCGCGTGGCCGCCGAAACGTGGGCTCGCAGTTTATGGCAGACCACCAGAGGCGAGGAGGTGCCACGGCACGCTGCTGGAGAGGGTGCGCCGGATCGTTGCTGCTCGAGGGGCGCCCGGGACGCCCCTGCAAGGCGAGGCGAGCCCAGCGCCAACGTCGACGGGGCTCGAGCAGCCCGCCGCGCGAGAGTTGCGCAGCCATGCGCACTAGTTTTGTGGATGCCACGACAATGGACATCCTAACAGTCCTATCATTGAATTAAACATGTGTTGAAAATGTCGGCAATGCCATGAAGATGTGTAAAGCATGTCTACATGTGTTACACCTGTTTGAAACATTATCTTATACATCGAGAAGTTATATGGCAGCATGTTTCCTCTCCAGTAATCGACCTCCACAACACTAGTGGTGGGGACAGAAGCACCTTGCCTCCGAGCGCACGCATAGAGGATGGGCATGTACGTGCTGCCTCCCATTCGCGAGGACCACCGAGAGGCAGCGATAGTGTGAGCAGGCAGGCCTGCCCAGCGCATCGGGCCGCTGCGACCCCTCACGCTCCGCCATCTCCCCAGGAAGCCTCAGCAGCCTCCCTCGGACCCCAGCGACCCAGCGGCCAACAGGCCGCTGGCGTTGCACGCCGACCAGGTCCGGCTGGTCCGACCCGGGGCGGAGCTGCCTCCCGCCCCCTCCCCTCCCCCTTTGGACCTCCCTGCCGCTGCGGACGCGCCGCCTCCGCCTCCGCCCCCTCCTCAGACCGGGAGCCCGGCCGGGCCCCCCGAAGAGTCGGCGGAGCCTTTCGTCGGGCAGATGCGCAACCTCGGATCAGGCTCGAGTCCCGCCCTCAAAGGGGGTCGTTCCCCACGCCGCCCGGGCGTTGGGGACCGCGGCGGCTGGCTCGGAGAAGAGCCTCAGGGCGGCGGCCCCGCGTGGGAGCCACCGCCGTCCTTCCCGGCACGGGGTGCCCGTCCGAGGGCGTCGCGCCTCCCGAGGCCGCAGATCACAGGTTGCCTGGAGTGTGGCTCGTTCTCTCAGCGGGCGGTCAAGACTCCACTGTCCTCGATGCGTGACCCCTCGAGCCTCACAGATAACGCGCAGTGTTAGGGGCGCCGAGAGAACTTCGCCTGAGGCCGCCACCCAAACGAAGGCCGAAAGCACGGGTGAGCACAGCGTTTTCACTGCCCCCCGAAGCAAGGATGAGGAGGGACGAGGTGCGCGGAGCGAGGAGGAGGAGGGGAGGAGGATGAGGAGGAGGAGAAGGAGGAGGAGGAGGAGGAGGAGGAGGAGGTGTAGGAGGAGGAGGACGAGGAGGAGGAGGAGGAGGAGGAGGAGGAGGAGGAGGAGGAGGAGGAGGAGGAGGAGGAGGGGAAGGAGCGAGTAGTGAGGAGCGAGGAGCGAGTAGCGAGGAGGAGGGGAAGGAGCGAGTAGTGAGGAGCAAGGAGCGAGTAGCCAGGAGGAGAGAGAAGCAGGAGGGGAGGCGAGGAGGAGGATGAGGAGGGGGAGCGAGAAGGAGGAGGAGGAGGAGGAGGAGGAGGAGGAGGAGGAGGAGGAGGAGGAGAGGGGGAGGAGGAGGAGGAGGAGCGAGGAGAAGGAGCGAGGAGGAGGAGGGTGAGGGAGGAGAAGCGAGGAGGAGGAACGAGGAGGAAGAGCGAGGAGGATGCGGAGGAGGAGGCCACAAACCCCGGCAACGCCGGACATGAACCCGGGAACGCGTACACATAATCGGCGCGCCGCATTCCGGGTCGGGCGGCGCCGACGCCGCATTTCGGGTCACACTCTCTCTGATCCGTAGATCTGGCACCCACTCGACAGATCCAGGGCTCCCTACAGCCAAAAAAACATGATCACACAAATCGACATCTCAGAAATCTGGGCCAGCTGCCTGGACGTTTCTTAGAGGAAGCCTGGGCCAACGCGCTCGTCGCGAACGCGGACACCTGGACAAGCTTCTGTCGTGAACGCTGGAGGGGCGAGCGTGCTCAAGAAGCCAGGCCGGCTTTCCGGCAAGCTGGCCAGGAAACACTGTCACAACGTCTCGGAAGGAGGTTTCTGGATCAGATGTTCGACAGTAACCCATGTTGCAATGGATGCCCGACCACAAGAGACCTTCCACAAGAAACCCAAACCTGGGGCCCCAGGACGTCCGTTGATTCTTGGTGTGGGGACGTCACGCCTTCCACAGCAGAACCATCGAGACGCAAGAAACCCAGGGCACCCTGGAGGCAAGCAGGGTGTTTCTTGGCATGGGCCTCCACTACAACGTGCGCCCGATACTTTGGTCCTCCTCCTCCTCCTCCTCCTCCTCCTCCTCGTCCACCTCCCCCCCGTGGACTGTCCTGGCCATCGGCCAGGCGCGCGGGGTGAAGTCTTGGCCAGGTCACATCGACACAAGGGTATCGCGAGCACGGGGCTGACAAGCCGAGCGGGCGCCGCACAGCATGTGCATACAAGCAGATAGCTGGCCAAAAGAGCCGCAGGGGTGACACCTACCATTCGTGGACCTTGAGCTTCGCAGGGTCCCCGGGGCCATTGCTGAATAGCACACGATCGGGAGGGCAGCTGCTGGCAGGCCGGTTTCTTACTATGCTCTGCTCGCTGCAATCCGCCTGACCTGCGCGGGACGCGCGGGACAAAAGAACAGAGGTTCTTGGAGCATCCCCCAAGCCCAAATCAGAAGCAGGGTGCCTCGGACCAACCAGAACGGAGGAGTAACGAAACGAAACATGGCCAAAGGGGGACGGTGCATAACGCTGGAAACGAGAATCAACCCTCGCTGGAATCGCGTCGCGGATCGAGAAGGCGGGAGGCTCTGGTCTCTTCCTTCCGCCGACCTCGTTCCTGGCGGGCGGACGAGCGTGGCCACCACATCCGCTGCCTCCACCCTCCTGACCACCCCCAAATCCTCCCTCCCAGGCATCCGAATTGGAGAACGCTCTGGGATTCTGCGCGGGGCAACCTCGGCCCTACATTCGAGCGGGGCTGTGCAAGCCAGGCCCATCGGTGAGGGCCGGAGGGCCTGAAACGAGGGAGGAAGGCCCCTCGTGAACTCGGTCGGGGCCTCGTCATCCTCCTCCTCCTCCTCCTCCTCCTCCTCCTCCTCCTCCTCCTCCTCCCTCCTTTCTCCTCCTCCTCCTCCTCCTTCATCCCCCTTCTCCTCCTCCTCCTCCCCCTGCCTCATCCCTGCCTGCAGCTCCTCCCTCCCCGATCCTACCCGCTCCAGCGCGCCCTCCTCCGATCCCGCACCTCCTCCGACCCACCCCCTCTACGCCATGCAATGCCGTGCTCTGCAATGCATCGCGTACTCTTTCGGGATCCTTGCCCTGCTCGACATCCGGCTGTGCGAGTAGAGAGGGGATCTACGCCATGGTAGGGGATGGGAGGGAGGGGTCGGATGTCAGATATGACGCGAGCGCACCTGGCTTGTGCCCACCCCCTCCGCCGCGCGCCTGGAGCAGGAGTCGTCTCTCGGCTCTCGGTGTGACAGCCGTTCGCCAGGCCGCACGGGGGACCAACTCCGTGCCGACGTCGACCGGCCCTCGCCCACTCCCCGCCCTGCACTCCAGGGGCGCAGGGCGGGGAGTGGGAGGGGCTGGAGGAGCGGCTGTGTGGGCCGCTGGTCAGGGAAGCTGACGAGGCTGGCGTCAGCCACAGATCCCTCATCTCCTGCCCTCTTCTCCCGGCCCCAGAGGTGGCCGTTCAGGGGCCCATGCAACCCGTGAGCCTGAACGAGTAGGCGCCTCTCTGACAGGTCTTGCCAAGCCGTTGTGGCTACAGGTGGCACATTCTCACATGCATGTATCGCCCAATCGTACTGGCTGACTTTTCCTTGATGCATCTCTGGTTCCAGACGCTCCCCTGAAGCAGTGCAAACAGAACAGGACATGGGGGGGGGCGAGGGCGAGGGCGAGAGTGGGGAGGGCGAGGGGGTGGGCAGGGCGAGGGAATCGGGAGTGGGCGGGGGAATGGGGGGGTGGAGGGCCCCCACCCCCGTCCGACGACGACGACGACGATGGCGGCGGCTGCGGCGGCGACCACGACGCCGACGCCGACTGCGCCGTCGACGCCGCGGCAGCGGGCGGCTCCTGCGGCTGCGGCTGCGCGCCCCCCGCCCACAGCGAGCAGACCTGGCCCCGCCCGAGCGGCGGCTTCACCGAAGCCGTCGGCGGCGCCGTTAGCGTCGTCGGCAGCGTCGGAGTCAGCGTCGGCGCTGGCGCCGTCGCGGTCGACGTCGTCGGAACTGGAACGGTGGAGAGGGATCGGGGGTATGAGGCTTCGCGGGGCGACAAGGATTTCCAGGAAAACCGTGTAGGCGTCACCATGCGCCAGGAATGCCAGCGAGCCTCAGGGGGGCTCCCAGAGGGACAAGAAAACGCGTGCCCAGAAGGCCTTGGAAGGCTACAGGCATCCCCTGGACTCCACGTCAGGTACAGGGGACCCTGAGAGGCTCCAGTCGTTCTGGGTAGCAGCTTATGTAAACCCAGCCATGGCGACGAGAACCCCCTCTGAGTTTTTAAATTGGCCGAGGCGTACCCAAACCATTTTGCGCGTGAGGCGATTCTTCTCGCGAGCGCCTCGTTCAAACAAACAACACATGGCGAGATACGCGACACTCGGGAAGGCGAAACAAGGTCGTGCCAAGGGCGTCGCACACCTGCGCAACATAGAACCGGGGGGGGCAGAAGTGCAGGAGGACGAAGAAGAGGAGGAGTAGGAGGAGGAAACAGGAGGAGCAGGAGGAGGAACAGGGGGGGAGGGCGAAGAGGGCGCCACTCTGGTGAGGATAACATCGCCATGCGCTACATCTCATCGGTTCGCCCGCGTTGCCGCTGCAGGTGACGGGCGCCCGAGGAGGGGGGGCGGGCACTGAGGACTGCACCACGTGCTACGTGACGCTCCAGAGCCCTGCGCTCTGTGATGCAGCAGCGCCCGCCGCGCGCCGACTGACGGCACAACGCCACGCGCCATGTGGGCGCGCGCCCCTTCACAGGCACCGCTAAAAGGATAGCCAATGCGCGCGCTCGCCCAGACCCCGCTTGCCGTTATCCCCCCTTTGAGTCGCGCAAGAGCTGGGCAACGCCGAGCGCGCGCGCCATCTTCATGGACTGCTTCCGGCGGTTCTCCGTGCCGGCACCGGAAGTCCAGAGGCGCGCGAAACAGGCCCGCTGGCGGCCCCCAGCGCAGGAGCCCACGAGGGAGGCGACTGTGTCTGGGCTCGCAGCTCGCAGCCGCGCAGGGAGCCGCGACAGGTCTCGGAAAAAAATAGCGAGCACTCATGCCACGTTCATCTGTCCACGCCCCCCCCCCCCTCCCCCCAATGTTCAAAGTTGGCGGTGGGTCTGATGAGTTGCACCTCGACCGCAGTCTCCCCCGCGCGTGCCAACTTTCAGTTTGGGGGGCAGGGGGGGGGGTTACTAATTGTTTCCCTCTACCGGAGGTCCTGGCTGGATCGGTCCGCTGGACCTCCCGGGAGCCCACGAAAGTGGCGGCATGTTGGGCAGATCGCAGCCGCACGGGGAGCCGCGAGGTCCCAGATGGATCTGCTTGTCCCCCCACCCCGCTGGACCTCCCAGGAGTCCACGGAAGTGGCGACTGTTGCGGAGTTCGCAGCCGCCCAGGCAGCCGCGAGGTCCCGGCTGGGTCTGCAGGTCCCCCCGCTCCGTTGGACCCTCCAGAAGCCCACGACAATGGCGACTGCTGCGCAATTCGCACCCACCCAATGAGCCGCGAGGTCGCGGCTGGATCTGCTTATCCTCCGCTGGACCTCCCAGGAGCCGACGAAAATGGCGACCGTTGCGCGGTTCGCAGCCACCCAAGGAGCCGCGAGGTCGCGGCTGGACCTGCGTGTCCCCCCACTCCGCTGGACCTCCCAGGAGCCGACGAAAGTGGCGACTCTTGCGCCGTTCGCAGCCCCCCAAAAGAAAAGGTACTAGGAAGGGAAGCAAGAAGGCAGGAAGAGGGGGGAGGGTGAGGAGGAAGGAGGAGGGGGGGGGAGGACTGGAGGCCACAATGCTCTATCCACAACGGGAACCGAAGACTCCGGAGGGCTGGGAATAGAAAAAAACCACAAGCGTGCAGAAACGTTGCCTGTCGGCCCTCGAACCTCGCCGCTATCTCCCCCGTCGCAGCCCGTGCTGGGGAGGCCCCCCCGGCCTTTGCCTGCGCCGCGTCGAGCTCGGGGGCGGCGGGCGAGCCAGCCTCGCCGCAGGGGGGGGAGGGGGGGGAGAACCCCGAGGGGGGGGGACGGGCGTTCGCGAAGAGTGGCCGCGAGGGGTCTCTACTGTTGGGGACCCCCCCCCCAAAGCTCTCGGCGGAAAGTAGAAACTCGTCCCTCCTCCGCCGTCCCCTCCTCCCCCCTTCCCCCCCCTCCTTAGCTGGAGGCGGCGGCGGGGCGCGCGGTCACCCGCACTGGTCGGCGCGGCGGGGGGCGAGTGGCGGCGACCCCGGGCGGCGGCGCGGCGGCGGCGGCGGGCGGCGGCCGGGAGAGGCGGCGGCAGCGGCGCGCCCCCCCTCCATCGCGGCGCGCAGCGGGCGGCGCAGAGGCACCTCGACGACGTTGGCTGCGGCGGTGACGGCGGCGGCGGTGGCGACCACGATGCCGACGGCGGCGACGGCGGCTGCGGCGACGGCGGCGGCGAGGGCGACAGCGAGGACGACGGCGAGGACAACAAGGGGGGGAGGAACAGGAGGCGGGGCTCCGCGAGCCTTGGAATAGGCTGGGCGGTGTTCCCCCTTTCTGGTGTTTGTTCTCGCGGTTGCTGAACCCAACGGTTCAGCATGTCGGTAAGATAGTCAGGGTTGGAATTTGCAATATGGTGCTGCTCCGTTTCAGAAAGCTCTTCTTCCCAAGGCCAACTCCCTACATGGACCCCCTCAGTCTGGCTTCCCACAATTTCTTTACACTGAACTCATCACGCTCACCACTATTCCTGTTGCCGCTATCCATGACCATATATCAAGGAGGAGGGGGAGGAGGAGGAGGAGGAGGAGGAAGAGGAGGAGGAGAAGGATGAGGAGAAGGATGAGGAACAAGCAGAAGAGGATGAGTCGGATGATAAGGGAGGAGAAGGAACAGGAGGAGGAGGAGGAGGAGGAGGTGGATATGAGGAGGAGAACAGAAGGAGTCGGAGGCGCAGGTGGAAGATAGAAGAGGGAGAGAAGGGAGTGGACAAGGGGAGGGAGAAGTGAGGAAGTGACAAAAAAGATATGGAGCAACAGGCATGTACTGACAAGGAAAGGTAGCACATGACACGTCACCCCAAGGCGTGCCAGAATCTCGTCTGCAAGGCTTGATAACATCTGTATGTTGCTGATCTGCGTGCGCGTGGCGGCCTCTGTCCCCCGAGGAACAGCACCGGGGCAGGGTCTCGTCAGGGACGCCCGAACTCCCGGGCGCGGCGCCGAGACGGCCCAGGCGCGGTCCAAGACGGCCCAAGATGGCCCCAAGAGGGCCCAGGGGGCCCCCAGGACGGCCAAGGAAGGCCCCAAGACGCAAACCCAGTTCATTTCCAACTTGTCTTCGAAGGACTGGGGCGTTCGCGCTTCTCTGGGCTCCCGGCAGCCCAAGACGGCCCTCCAGATCGCTCCAAGACGGCCCTAGAGACCCCAAGACAGCCCCAGGATGGCCGAAGAGGGCCCCAAGACGGCCCAAGAACGCCCTACCCCGGCCGGCCCAAGAGGCCACGAACAGAGTCTCCGAGACTGCCAGCAGGCCCCCAAGACACCCCAAAGGGCCCCAGAGGCCCCAGTAGACTCCCAAGAATCCTCCCAGAGGACCCCAAAGGCCCCAGAGGCCCTAGGAAGCCCCCTGGAGGCCCCCAGATGGGCCCCCGAGAAGACTCCAAGCGGCCCCCGAGGGGCATCCCAAGAAAACCCGAGCGGCATCCGACATGCCTCTGACCCATGACCCAAGCATGATGGCGGTATGCACTGACGGAGCTTCGAAAACGTCAGAAGACCCCCGACCATCGAAGAGAAAACATACGCAGGGCTCCGACAACCTGCGGAGCAGGCGCGACGACGGCGGCGGCGACGACCACAACGGCGAAGGCGCCTCGCGCTGCTTCTGCGGCACGTCGGCCACCGCTCCAGGCGCCACGGGGGACCTGCCATGCCAGCGCTGCCCTCCTCCTGCTCGTCCTCCCCTTCTGCTCCTCGTCAGCGACCCCCCCCCCAGACCTCCTACAGCGAAGGAGAACTCGCGATGGGAGTTCGCCTTTTGCGGCCCCTGGCGGCCGCTTCTCCGCCCTGGGGCATTCGAACAACGACCAACCATGAGCATGGTTCATCCGACCCCGATGCTGGAACTGCACGCCTTCCTCCGAGGATGACACGACTAGGGTCCTCTTTGGGTCCTCTTCAAGGGGCTCCCGGAGCGCTTCTTGGGCGTATTGCAGGCTTCTTGAGCCGTGTTGAATCCATCTTGGGCCATCTCAGAACGTTCGTGGGCCGTCTCGGGAGTCTCTTGGGCCCTCTTCGGTGCCTCTTGGGGTCCTGCCCTTGTTGCTCGCAGCAGCCCAGCGAAGGCATCAGCTCCTAGAGAATTATCCCAGTGCGACCCTACCTAGGAGTTGGAACCCCTAGGAAAGCAGCATTAGTAGTAACAGTAACGCTAAGCTAAAGCCAAGCTAAAGCTAAGCTAAAGCTAAGCTAAAGCTTTAGCTAAGCTACAGCTAAGCTAAAGCTAAGCTAAAGCTAAGCTAAAGCTAAGCTAAAGCTAAGCTAAAGCTAAGCTAAAGCTAAGCTCAAGCTAAGCTAAAGCTAAGCTAAAGCTAAGCTACAGCTAAGCTCAAGCTAAGCTAAAGCTAAGCTAAAGCTAAGATAAAGCTAAGCTAAACGCTAAGCGAAAAGCTAAGCGAAACGCTAAGCTACAGCTAAGCTACAGCTAAGCTAAAGCTAAGCTACAGCTAAGCTAAAGCTAAAGCTAAAGCTAAAGCTCCCAGGGGATTGGGGGGAATCGCGGGGCGGGGAATGGGGGAACCGCCCGGGGCGATTTCCACTGCCCGGCCCCTTTAAGCCAAGAGAGTAAGAACCCTTCTAAGCAGAGCCTAGATAGGGAGAAACTCATCCAATGGAGGCTGCCTACATAACAAGCATCTGCTGAGAAGAACCCCGACGGCTCAGACCACAAGGGGGGGGGCAATGTGAAGAACCCCGATGGCTCAGACCACACGGGGGGCTGATAAGAAGAACCCCGATGGTTCAGACCACACAGGGAGCGAAGACCACAGAGGTACCACGAACAGCTCCAAATCGGCCGCCTGCGTAAATGGGCCTCTGCCACATATATATATATATACACATACATACATAAATATATATATATATATCTATATATGTGTATATATATAGGCACACATATCCGCTAGCCCTCTCCGGGGGCGCAAGGCTGCGAAAGTGTGCGCGGTCTGCTGTCATGTGGTATGTGCTGTCATTGCCTCTCCAGTCCTGATTCCTGCCTCCTGTTTACTGTATGCTAGGGGAGGCACACCGCGCCACCAAACAGCCAACGGGGAGGAAATGAACCTCAACTCATGGCTGCTCCCGACCACCCCAGGATTCTCGGGCCGGGCGAAAGGGGGGGACAGCAAAGGGGGGGGCTGAGAATCAGCTCACGTAGCTGACTTTTTCTGGCGCCTCCCGGCGCCGGGAGACGCCCATGCATCGAGGAATAGGCCCGGCGACGGGGCCGAAACCAGCTGCATGCAGCAGATTTCGTACCCCCCCCTTTCCCTATCCCCCCCCTTTCGTTCGGCCCGAGATTCTCATGGTGACGCCACCGCGCGGCCATAGCGGCCCGAGACGCCTCAAAGATCACCCGAGCGCCTCGGGAGGCCAAGACGGTCCCAAGATGGCCCCAAGATGTCCCACGATGGCCCCAAGACGGCCCAAGATGCGCCCAAGACAATCTAAGAGGGCTCCAAGAGGCCCCCCAAGAGGGCCCCACGACGCAAAAAAACAACGATGTTCCTAACGCTTTTGAAGGTCTTTTGCCTTCTCACCTTTTCGGCTTTCCGACGCTCCGAGACGGACCAAGAGGTTCCCAAGATCGCACCACGACGGCCCTAGAAGCCCCCATGACGGCCCAAGAGGCCCCCAAGACTGCCCCACAAGGCGGTCCAAGAGGCGCCCCAGACGGCCCAAAAGGGCCGTAAGACGGTCTCACGTGAGGCCCAAGAGGGAGCCCACGAACCGAAAACTCCACCTTTCCGCCCCGAGAGGGCCCCAGGAGGCCCCAAGAACGTCCCAAGAGGCCCCCAAGAGGCCCCCCTGAGAGGCCCCCAAGAGGCCCCAAGGAGACCCCCACGAGACTCAAACGATGTCCCAAGAGCCTCCAAAGCGGCTCCCAGGAGCTCCAGACAATGACCCGGGACGCTACCCGCGCAGCCGCCCCCCCTAGTAATGGGGGGGCCGGCGGCAGAGGGCGAAACCCTTGAAATATATAGGCCTTCGGACCATCCCGCCACGGAACCTGGCCTCGTTCCTGCACACCTCGACCTCCTCCTTCTCCTCTTCCCCCTCCTCCTCCGCCACCTCCTTCTCCTCCTCCTACTCCTCCTCTTGGCCCCCGAGGAATGGGCCTTGTGTCAGAAGCCTCTTGGGTGTTCGCTGGCACCTCGTGGAAAGCCTCTCGGGAACCGCGCCGAGGGCGGCCGAGAAGCCTCTGGAGGGGGCCGTTTGGGAGCGTCTGGGGGCCTCTCTCGGGCCTCTCTCGGGCCGTCGTGGGGGGGCCTCTTGGGAGCGTCAGGGGCGTCTTCGAAGCTAGAAGCCTCCTAGATGCGGTCCGAATAGATGGGGTCGGAGGATCGCGCCGTATCTTTGATACATCGGCGATGCATCGGCGATGCATCGGCGATGCATCGGCGACGTCGGCGTGGAGAAAATCGGGCTCCGCATCGGGCCGCGTCGTCGATGAATCGTCGATGCGGCGCGATCCTCCGACCCCATCTACTCGGACCCCATCTGAGAGGCCTAGAGAAGCAGCTTGAAGCCTCTTGGAGTCTCTTGGGGCATCTTCAAGCTCGATGTTGGACCTCGTCGGGGCCTTTTGCGAGCTTCTTGGGGGCTTGCTGACTGTCTCGGGTGTCCTATTGGGGCGGAGAGCTCTACATGTCGGTTCGCGCTCCCCCTCTTGGGGAAGCGTTGAGCTCCTCCTGGGGCCCTCTTCGGGCGTCTGGGGCGCCTCTTGGACAGTCTTGGGATTCTTTTGCGTTCAGAAGAAAGGCAGAAAGCAGATCCTGAGCGTCATCAAAAGGTCTGATACTCTGGTGGATGGCGGAGAGCGCGCCGATGCTCTGCGCCACTGCGGGCAGGCTGGTTGCGCCCCTGGGGCGCCGGACGTACCTCCTAGGCTAGGGTCTGCAGCTCCTCCTAGGCTAGGGTCTGCTGCTCCTCAGCAGAAGCTGCAGGCCCCTGGCTGCCCCGATACGAATTACTCGCAAGTCCCCGCTCACAGCGCCACGCACTCGCTTTCATCCTGGTCGACCTTTGCTGTCTCGAGTTCCGCTTCTGCTTTGGCCCTGTCCCTCGCGTCAATCTCCTTCATGATATCGGCTTTCAGATCCGCCAGCATCTGCTCTTGTTTAGCCTTTTCCTTCAAGCACGGGTACTTCTTGGTGAGCTTCGTCGTGTACTTTACGAGCATTCCGGACGTGACAGCTGCGGTACCGCCTCCAGCGGCAACACCCGCGATGGGCGTGCCCAACACGCTGGCCACGGTGCCGACTGTACCGACGGTGAGCGCAGCGCCGGTTTGGGCGAGGTACAGCCTGAACTTCCTGGTCCTGCAGTTTTTGCAGTTTGTCTGGACCGTCGTCTGAGCGCTCTGGACCTCGGCAGCCTCGTCCGCCTGCTCGGCCTCCAGGCGGTCAACCCGCTCCTGCAGCTGGCGGAGCTGGTCTTTGATCTCGGACAGCTCCTGGGCCGTGTGGGCCTTCACCACCCTCATGTGCGCACCTCCACCGAGCTCCAGGGCAAGGTTCCCGCGATCTGCGAGGGAAGTACGAGCAAGGAGCGCGAGAGCTGCGAAAACCACAAAAATCATGGCACCGACCGCAACTAAGCGGCAAAGCGCGAACTCTTGTAGCGAACGCCGCAGATTTCTTGTGAGCGGCGAAGCTTGGGCCTTGGGCCGATGTGACTTGAGCCAACAAGGCGACGGAGGAACAATCTTGGGACTCTTGAGCCGTCTCGGACGCCGTTTAGAGCCCGGAAGCGGATATGCTAGAATTACACGCCTTGTTGGTCCTCTTTGGGTCATCTTGGGGGGCTCCCGGAGCGCTTCTGGGGCGTATTGCAAGCCTCCTGAGCCGTGTTGAAGCTTTCTGGGCCACCTCAGAGAGTTCGTGGGCCGTCTCGGGGCCCCATTGGTCCCTCTACGGTGCCCTTGGGGGTCTTGCCCTGTTTGCTCGCAGCAGCGCAGCGTGGGCATCAGCTCCCAAGGAAAAACTCATCCAATGGCGGCTGCCTGCATAACAGGCATCTGCTGAGAAGAACCCGACTCTATCAGACCACACGGGGGGGGGGGGGGCAATGCGAAGAACCCCTATGGCTCAGACCACATAGGGAGCGAAGACCACAGCGAGAGCACGAAAGGCTCCAAAGCGGCTGCCTACATAAACGGGCCTCTGCCATATATCTATCTATACACACACGCTAGAACCATCGCGCGCATCGCGCGCGCTCAAGTTCGAGCTAGGCTGGATGGTCGAACTCTTGGGGATCTCTATTCCATGACACTTCTTCTAAGGGGGTTCCAAGAACCACGAGGACGGCCCAACTGGCTTCCAAGGCTTTTTCCCAACCATCCTGTGGTGTTGGGTCCTCGTTTTGAAGAAACAGCGCCCCGCGTCCCACCTTCCCTCCTCCTCCTCCCCCTCCTCCCTCCTCCTTACATGCGGTTCCCCCACCCAGGGCAGCGCTTCGTGGCCCCATAGGGAACTCCACCGGAGGCCCCAGTGGCTGCTCTCGCACGCGGTTCCCCCGCCCAACGCAGCGCTTCGTGGCCCCATAGGGAACTCCACCGAAGGCCCCAGCGGCTGCTCTCGCATGGGCATCCCCCACCCAGGGCAGCGCTTCGTGGCCCCATAGGGAGCTCCACTTCAAG